ATAAATGAGAAAGTATGTTGTTTGATAATAGGTGGAGGTAGTTGTGCTAATGTCGCTAGTACTTTACTAGTTAACAAGTTATCCTGATCAAATCAAAATAAAAAAATCCTTTGAGAAGTATTCAAAAAAAGAAAAAGAAAAAAAAGAAAGAAAAGAGGCCGAAAAGAAAATGAATGGCTCATTGAGAGAAAAATAGGCTGAAAAAAATAAAAAAAAGCCCACTGAGCATAAAAAAGGCATAAAAGAACAATAAAAAAGGCCCAATGAGAGAAAGTGAGAGAGAGAAAAGAAAAGAATGTTTTTATATAAGGGAGAGATAAGTGAGGAAAGCGAACCATGAGAAGCAAAACTTAATTATTCTTCGGTACAAGGAAGCCTATCTAACTTTTTTTTTACCTTGACACTTCTTTGCCTAGCTCTATTTTCTTTCTTTTATAGGAATATGAAGTTGTGTTCCTTGAGGAGATTCTGGTTAGTCTAACACCACTATGAGGGATTGAACATGAGATTGACTTTATCCCTAGAGCTTCAATTCCCAATCGTCAAGCCTATCGAAGTAATCTTAAGGAGACATGGGAACTTTAAAAACAATTAAATGAGTTATTAGGTAAGGGACATGTAAGAGAAAGTTTGAGCCCTTGTGCTATACCAATGTTACTTGTACCTAAAAAAGATGGTTGGTGGAGGATATGGGTGGACTGTCGAGCCATCAACAAAATTATACTAAACTATAGACACCATATCCCTATATTAGATGATATGTTTTATGAATTGAGTGGATCTACTATTTTTACCAAGGTAGATCTTAAGAGTGGATACCACCAGATTAAGATGAAACCTAAAAATGAGTGGAAATTTGTCTTTAAAACAAAGTATGGATTGTATGAGTGGTTAGTAATGCCTTTTGAGTTATCAAATGCCCCTAGCACCTTTATGAGACTTATGAACCATGTTTTACGACCTTTTCTAGGTAAATTTGTGGTAGTTTACTTTAATGATATCCTCATTTACAGCAAGACTTTAGAGAATCACCTTCAACATATTTGATCTGTCTTTGAGGTTCTTAGGAAAAAATAGTTATATACAAATGCCAAGAAGTGTACCTTCTGCAATGAAAAACTAATTTTTTTTTTAAAGATTTATAGTTAGTGCATAGGGTATTAAGGTAGATGAAGATAAGGAAAAAGCAATCAGAGAATGACCTACTCCAACATCAACCAACAAGGTATTGGTATAGGAGCAATTCTGATGCAGAAAGG